TTCCTCTTTTCTTTCCCCGATCCTTAATTCATTAAAAGAATAGTAATTGTAGAATTAGACTGGAGGATGCTAGGGCTTAAATTAGGTAGTATTTCATAGAGTCTGGGATCTATCCATTTCCTTCCAGACACAGCTCAAATGCCACCTCCTACATGAAGCCATTCCTGAGACCCCCCAACTGCTAGTTTCCTTCCTCTGTTTCTCCATTATATTTAACCACTTTGTATTTATTATTTTCATATTTTTTCTGTACATAATTATATATGTATTTGTTGTCCTACTTTATTAAAATGTACTCTCCTTGAGAGTAAGGATTTGTGTGTGTGTGTGTGTGTGTGTGTGTGTGTGTGTTATATGTGTTTATCTCCAGTACAGAAAACATAGTAGGAACTTAATAAATGCTTGTTGATCAATTGATTTATTTTATTTTTATGCCAATCTCAGTTGGATGAAGATAGAAGTCTGTAGAAATTTCATCTTTGGCTGGCATGAAGGGGAATGTATTCCTTAGTCATCCCTCTCTCCTCTCCCTTTCCTTCCTACCAAATAATTAAGGCCCTAGTGACATGTATAAATAGCCCAAGTTGAGAACACAGTCATATCTATGTCTCTCTCATCACCACCAGACTCCATAACTGATGTGACAATTAAAATACTAATTTAGTTCCGAGAGGCACATGGCAAGTGTCCTACAGAAGATGGTATTTATATCCATAGTGAGCGATGCTGACTTTGTCAACTGTACCTTTGGCACATCATCTGATCCTTTCCCTAGGAGTTAATGCAATTCTTGTTATAACTGAGGATCCGTGGTGATTAGCTTTCTAGGCCCCCTTATCTTACAGTTATCTTCTTGGCTTGGGACTGTACTGCTGTCATATCGATAACTGGGAAAGTATAGAGGAAGCAAGGAGTCAATTTGAAGTATCAGATTCAACAGAAAAGCTAGTTGAAAAGAGGCTGATTCTGAGCTGAACACACATTCTGTAGCTTCCTGAAACAAAAGACATTTGACTTCAGCTGTGCCAGCAGGAATTCACAATTCTTACTGTGTGTTAAATTGTGCATTGTGACATTGAAGGAAATAAGGACAGATTGCCCAGGTTGCTTGAGTCCTCCACAGAATGACTAATCATTCGAAGTCATAGAACTTTCATTTTTCTTTGTTATCTCTCAGCTCCCATCATCATTTGTTGTACATAGTAGGTATTTAATAAATGCTTATTCAAATGAATGGGAATCACAGTGGGAAAGATTTGGGAGGCTAGCTGTTCTAGCCCCCTGCTTAGTACATGAATCCCCTCCCCCATATATTTATGTGTATATATATATCTTATATATATATATATATATATATATCTATATATATATATATATATATATATGTATATCATATATGTGTGTATATAAGAAATGCAAATGCCCATTCTGCCTGATGTTTGAACACATACATAGTACATCAGAGAAAGAGTGTTGTACATGAAATTGCAGGTAACTTTTAGCTTCCAAAGCTGTGCTTCTTGTGTGTGCTTCTTTTTTTGGCCTTCCTTCTGTTCTATTTTCTGCATTTTAAAAAAGATGTTTCAATGATCCTTTTTTTCTTTCTTTGTTTCTTTCTTCTTTTATTGCCCCTTTCTTCCTTTCTCCTCTTCCTTCTTCTCTCTCTCCTTCCCTCTCCCTTTCTTTCTTTTCTTTCTTTCTCTCTCCTTCCTTCCTTTTTCTTCCTTCCCTATTCCCCCTTACCTTCCCACCCTAATCTCCAATTGGTGGAAAAAAACCACAGAGCCCTTGTAACAAATATCCATAGTCAAACAAAATGGATCTCAAGATTTTTCTTGATTCATTCTGCTGCTGATGCCTCCCCACCCTCTGAAATTACTTTGTATCTTACAACATTGATTCTATATATTCTTTAAAAAGGACATTTCATTTCCCCCAATAGAATGAAAAATCCTTGAGGGTAGGGATGGTTTCATTTTTGTGTTTGTATCAACAATTCCCAGCATAATGCCTGGTATACAATTGGTGCTTAATAAATATTGCTGATTGATTAATTTGGATAAGACACATTAATGTAATGGAAACTTAGAGACTGACTGTTTTCCCTTTTCATCCATCCATAAGGATGTTGGCAGTGGGTCCCCTTTTAGGCAGGAGAAGAAAATCCTTCCCCTCTTTTCCTTCTACTTCTAGATTTTCCCCACGTGGCTGCTGTTTGAGGATTTTAGTTAAGTCTATCCCAGCAATGTCACACTGAATCAGCAATGCAGCTTAAAAAACAAACATGATCTGAGGATTTACAACTAGGGATCTAAGCATGTAGGAAGAGTGAAATAACTTTCCCATTATACTTAGTCCTTATCTAACCTTGGTCTTTAATTCAAGGTTCTATGACTGAAGAAAGTCTTATGGGGAGCCACTAAGATAACAAAAATAGATGGTCTAGAGAAAAAATGACCCGTGATGAAAAATTATAGGAATTGGAATTTCTTGTTTTAGGGAAATGAAGGCTAAGATGATGATTTGATCTAACAGAGTATGATATGATTTAATATAATAATAGTAATATTAGTTTTTATTCAGATAACATTCTAAGGTTTATGAAGTGATTTATATAATAGTTTTTCCCCCTTTGGTCCTCTTCACAACCCATGTGAGGAACACAGTACAGATTTTACTATCCTGTCACAAAAAGTGCCCTGGGCTCAGAGTCAGGAATACCTGGATCCAGATTATTTCTTCTGTACTTACTAGCTGTCTGATCATAGATAAGTCACTCAACACTTTTTTTTTTTGCCTTTTGGTGAGGCAATCAGGGTTAAGTGACTTGCCCAGGGTCACACAGCTAGTAAGTGTCACATGTCTGAGGCTGGATTTGAACTCAGTCCTGACTCCAAGGCCAGAGTTCTACCCATTGTGCCATCTAGCTGCCCCCGTCACTCAACACTTTTAAGCCTCAATTTTCTCATCTGTAAAATGGGGATAAAATATTTGTCTTACATATCTCATAAGGATCTAGTGAGAAAATGAATATAAAGTACTTCATAAATCTAAAAGCATTGTTTTAATAATAATAGCAATTATTATTATTATTAATATTATCTTCATTTTGGGATCATAAATTTATGCTCAGAGTTCATCTAGTCCAACCCTTTTGTTTATAGATGAGGAAACTGAGGCTGAAAGAATGTCTTACTTTAATATTTCCAGGATCCCTGATTGTGTTGATATAGGTACTCCCTCCACCTATTCTGGCGGAGAACTATTCTGTTCCTAACCCCTTTTTGTTGGGAGATAGTGTTTGTGAGTTGTGGCTAAAATATTCATCACCTTTCAACCAATTCAATTCAATTCAATAAGCAATTATAAAGTGTGTTCACTATGCTAGGTACTAGGTAAAACACTGGTGATATAGAGACCAAGATGAAAAGGTTCTCACCCTCAAGGAGCTTATGTTCCATTGGAGACAGCAACAAATACATGAATACGAGTAAATACAAAATATTACACAGTCATTTTGGGGAGTAGATAGCGCTAATGATTTGATGTCTGAGAATGGCCCCTATGTAGGAAAGGATGCTTGAGCTGGGGATTCCAAGACAGAGGTGAAGAGGGAGGGCTTTCTAGGCATAGAGAGAACTGAATGGTACAAGGAACAGCACAAAGACCAGTGTGACTGAAACCGAGAGTGAATGAATAATGATAATGATAATAATAATAATAGTAAAAAATAAGCTTGAAAAAGTTGGCTGGAGCTAGATTGTGAAGGCATTTAAAATTCAGAGGTGGTTGTTGCTATTATTGTTGCTGAGTTGTTTTTAGTTGTATCTGATTTTCCAGGACCCCATTTGAGGTTTTATTGGTAAAGATACTCGAGGGGTTTGCCATTTCCTTCTCCAGCTCATTTTACAGATGAAGAAACTGAGGCAAATAGGGTTAAGTGACTTGCTCAGGGTCACACAGCGAGTAAGTGTCTGAGACCAGATTTGATGTTGTGGAGTTAGACAAGACAATAATTGACAAATAATTGGATGGGAAGGTGAGGGAGAATGAAAGGTCAAGGTGAATCTGATGTTGTGAACTAAACTGACCAGAAGGATAGGAGAGTTAAGAAAAAAAGGAGAGATAAAGATATTGAACTCTGTATTGGGCATATTAAAACACCCTGCAGGGTAATTATTGGGAAGAACGTAACATCTCAGTCCTGGAACAGACCTCAGAGGTCATCCAGTGCAAATTCCTCATTTTATAGATGAGGAACCTAACGCCCAGACTGGGGAAGGACTCTCCACAAATTATGCAGGTATAAATAGCAGAAGAGGCAACTAGATAGCTCTGCAGATTTTGTACCTGGCCTGGAGTCAGGAAGACCTGAGTTCAGATCTGGCCTCAGACCCTTACTAGCTGTATGACCCTGGGTAAGTCACTTAACCTCTGTCTTAATCCACTGGAGAAGGGAATGACAAACCTCTCCAGGATCTTTGCCAAGAAAACCCCATGGACAGTATGGTCCACAGGGTTACAAAGAGTTGGACATAACTGATTAACTGAACAACAACAGCGGATGACAGAGTGGGGATTTGAACCCACATCCTCTGACTACAAATCTACTGTTTTGGCTATTGTAATGTGGAAGTGATGCTCAGGAGACAATTTGGGGGGCTAGATATATGGATTTGGAAGTCACTGAATTAAATTAAATCAAAAACTTGTTTTTTATCCAAAGGTCTTAAAAGTGACATATATTTGTACTAGCAAAGGTGAATCGTGCCCTTTACCTTCTGACCTCATTAGTGCTTGCCTGAATGTTAGACATTTCCTGGGGAGGGTGGATGTGGTTTGCTATGAAATAAGCAGGGCTTAGGGTTCAAACTCTATTCTGTTGCCTATTGTGTCATGGCGGTAGGTATTCCTGGGTTCTTAGAGAATCAGAGAATGTTAGAGTTGGAAATGACATCAGGAGTCACCTAGACCAATCCACACATGAAAGGAATACTTACTGGAAGATGCCTGACAGGTCCTTATCCAATTTCTGCTTGAAAAGCACCAAGGAGAAAGCACACCACCCCCACTTCTCCATCTCTGGAGGCAGCCTCTTCTACCCGGGGACAGCTCAGGTTTTTGAGAAGACACTCTTGACACAAAGGCTCAACTGGCCTCTTAACAATGCCCACCCATTACTCCTTGTCCTTCCCATTTGGGTCAAACAAAATAAGTGTGATCCCCCTTCCACATACTGCACTTCCTATATTTGGAGACAATTGCTATGTCTGCTTTGGGTCCTCTCTATTGAACCTCAGTTTCTCCATGGGTGTGTTGTGGATGATCACAGCTGTGGCTCATCTTCCTCATAGAGGTGCTGGGAGGCTTAATAAGAGAATTGGTGAACCCTTGGATTTGATGAGCATTATTGTTACCATGACTGTCACAGTGCCTAGATGTCATGGTGATTGGTACCATGGAAACCTGGAAAAAATAAGGAATATCATTTTCTCTCCTGCCTTTTTTCTTTTAATGACTTCAACTCAAATCCTGGTGGTAGGTTGGCATGCTTTTGTGATTTAGTGGAACGAAGAAATGTATTATTGAAAGCACGTTGGTCTATTTGGTAAGTTGTAAAGCTTGTTGAGAAAACTAATGGAAGGAAATATGCATTAATTTTAGCCCCCTACTTCTGAGAAACTCAATCTTTCTCCTGGTTATCTAAATTTTGGGGGTTTTAACCTCCTGTAAATACAATATGAGTCAAGAATGTGAAATGGCAGCCAAAAAAAAAAAGCTAACTCATCTTAAGCTTCATTAAAATGTAATTGTTGTGATATAGGCTCCTTCTGGACACAAAAGCCAGTGTCACTTTTAAACCATTCACTTTATCTGGCTTGTTTGTCCCCACACAAGTGGCATCTGGGAATACTACTTTAAGTCACTACCTTGAAAGACAGAAAGATAGACAGGAAGGAAGGAAGGAAAAGAAAGCAGAGAAGGAAGGAAGGAAGGAAGGAGGGAGGGAGGGAAGTAAAGGAGGGAAGGAGGAAGGAGGAAGAAAGGAAGAAGGGAAGGAGAGAAAAAGGGAAGAAGGAGTGAAGAGAGGAGAGAAAGAAGAAGGAAAATAATTTATTAATAATGTCTTACCATATGACAAACACTGTTCTAATTGCCCAGTGATATAAATGCAAAAGCAGAGATGGTCTTTGACCTGAATGGACTTACATTGTAATAGGAAAAGACAACACATTGAGAAAAGTAGTGACCAGGGTAGGGTATTTTGGTTTAGGAAGTTTAGGGATGATGAGTTGAACTAAAGAGAGAAGAGGGACACACTCTATCCAGGAGCAATGGCAGAATTGACGTGATTATAGTCCCCAAACTAGAAAGTGTGGGGAAGAACAGAAGGTAAAAATAAGACCAAGGCATGATCTTTGGATTCCATATAGCAAGTCAGCTGGCAGGAAGATGGTCAGGGAGTAAGAGAGTAGAAAGAAGCATGGCTGGGGCAATTCTGAAATAGTGGGTGACCATCAGTTACCCTTACAAGCACTTGGACTTACAAGACATCATACATGGAACAGGTTTTATTGATACAGTAAAGAACACAGAAAAGACTTGTACTGGAGGTCATAAAGAGTCAAGAGAGTTCCTTTCTCTGTTCTTGTGGGCTCTTCCTTGCCCTATCCTAAGAGAGACCTATGTAGTGGCCATTATTGCTCTTGGGTGGGAGTTGGGGGGGTAAAAATTAGAATTTTCTTATTCCAATTGCTGTGGCTTCATCTCCCATTTGATGCCTTTTGCTATTGGCCAATGTTATAGGATTCCTCATTAACATTGGTATCCTTTAGAGTTCTCCTTCCATAGATACTCTCTCAAAGTTGCTCCCTTTGCCAGGGATAGGGTATCAGATCTGGAGTATCAGAATGTGGCGGGACAACACTGGGGTCTTGATGCTCAAAGAGTTACATTTCTTTTACCATTACTTCCCATCCAAGGCTAGAATAACTCCAGGCTCTTACTCCTTTTCTTTTATGCTGGGTCCAAAAGTACCACTCTACAAATAAGAGCCTTTTCAGGTGCTAAGGGTGCTATCTTCTACTGACCTGGCTTAGCTGATTTTCTATTTCTCAATCCTACATGAGTTAGAATGAATTGGTCTTAAGTATTCCCTCAGAGCTTCTAGTTAGGAGGCTTCCTGCTCCCTCAATGAATAAGGGTGTTTAGAGGAGCAACTTGGCTTCATCTCCTGCTTGTGTTTCTATTTCTTATCTTCCTCCATGGAGGCTGAGACAGGCTATATACAGACTAATGTGGGAGTTTTAAGAGAGCCCTGGAAGGTCAATGGAAAGTGATTTGGAATTATATTAAGTAAGTGACCACACTGTCTACCCACTTTTGATCCAGAGGTCTCACTGTCAGGCATACAGCTTAATAGGTCAAAGACAGAAAGAAAGGTCTAATTTATAATAAAATATTTATAGTGACATGTTTTGTAGCAATGAACTGGAAAAAAATTGGTACTTATAATCTGGGAAATGGCTAAACAAATTGTGATATGTGAATGCAATGGAATATTACTGTGCAGTGAGAAACTAGGAAGAATAGAGAGAAACACGTGAAGATTTATGTAAACTGATACAAAATGAAGCTAGCAGAACCAGGAGAACTATGTATATAACTAAACAATATAGATGGAAATAATAACAAAAAATTACAATAAATCTCTCCATGAACTAAATGCTGCATAATTATAATGAGTAAACTTGACTTTTGGTTAAGATATGAGAAAATGCACCTTCCTTCCTTCTTTGCAGAGGTGTGAGATCGTGGATGCAGAATTTTATATGTATTGTCAGACTCAGCAGATATGTTCTTGTTTTGTTTTTTTGGCCAGGCAATGGGGTTAAGTGATTTGCCCATTGTCAAGTGTCTGAATCTGGATTTGAACTCAGGTCCTCCTGACTCCAGGACTGGTCTCTATCCACTGTGCCACCTAGCTGCTCCCTCAGCAGATATGTTGGTTGGTTTTGATAAATTGCTTTTCTTCCACTCTCTTTTTTTGTTCTACATTACAAGGGATAGCTCTATTCGTGAGGAAGAGGGAGGGATATATTTAGAAATGGAGGTATCATAGAAATGAGAGATTTAATAGTATTTTTTAAAAGAAGAAAGAATTAGAAGTTGGGGGGACACAGAATTTGGGGTGATAGTGTGGGGAATGGAAGCTATCCCTTAATCCTAATAGAAGAACAGTGACTAGGACAAAAGAACAGTCCTGCTCAGACTAGGTAGAATATTACGTTCAGTTCTGGATGGCACATTTTAGGAAGCACATTCACAAACTGGAAAGGTCCAGCAGAGTGTGATCAGGATAATTAAGAGGACCAGAGACCATTTATACTATACTGGAATTGATGGCAAGAACTACATGAGTTTAACTTGAAGAAGAAGAGACATAAAAGGGACATGACAGTGGTCTTAAAGTATTCAAAGGGCTGTCACAAATGTAAGAGAAATTAAATATGTTCTTCCTTAGGTAAAAACTAGGAGCAGTAGTTAGAAGTTTCAGGGAGGCAGAAAAAGAGGCCAGATGAGCAGTTGTTGCCAATGCTGTAGAACAGAATTCTGAATTGGCTTACATGGTCTCTGAGATGCCTTCTGACATTGGGATATTGGTGTTCTCTTTTGTTCATTGCATTGATTGGAAGACATGGGTTGGGGAGGGTCATGGGAATTGTATTCCTTTGTCCTTTTATCTAGTGCCATAATGGAAGAAGAAATGGCTACAGGCACATTTCTTAAGTAGGAAGGTTTCTCTCCAGATCTTCTGATAATTCATCATCTTATTCTTTGCCTGTAGATTTTTGCAGTTGCCAAAAGGAAATAGGTCCATGCTTGGGAAATTAACTCATCAGATTTGCTGTAACCTTTTGAATGATGAGTCAACATCCTCATTATTGGTTGTAATAGAAATTTCAGAGTGTTAAAACCAACAGCTCACTTTTGCATTGTTCTCTATGAATTAACATGCCTGCTACTCATTTCCTTCTGGAATGGCTCGTCCAATTTTACAATGATTATTTAAAGCATTAATTTCCTGGAAAGAAACAACACTGAAGCCATCAGCATTATGCATGTTGTGCACAGTGGAATGCAAAGCTAAAGTCTTATTTCAAGAGTTTATTGCCATTTTGACAACATATTTCATCTCTTCCACTGAAGTGTTATTGGAAAAATGGCCCCGTGTATAATCTGGTTCTAAAGCTTTACTGTGAGTGTCAAGAATATTTATTATAGATTGTGAAGAGGAAAGCATTACCCATTGCTAGGAAAAAGCTTGTTTGGCATTTCACAGTCCCTTTTGGTTTCTCCTTCAGAAAACATTGATGCAGGCATTGACTGATCTGATTAGAAATGCAGATCTGATGGGCTATTTTTCTTTTTCTTTCTTTCTTTCTTTTTTAGTTTAAAATAATTCACAGAATCTAGTGGATTAAAAAAAGAGATAACAAATGTGAGAGAAAGGAATGAATGATTTTCTGAGAACAGAGAAATTAACTGTTCTATCCATGGGTGTCCTGCTAATTTGGAACACAAGAAGGATATTATAAAGGTTATCACTGGAAAGACATTCTAAACATCAGGGTAACCCACCCAAGCCTTCTCATCCCGTGCAATTTATCTTCTTTCTTTCAATATATTTTCCAAAGAGGATCTGCCCAATGCACAGATGACCTTCTTCAGGTCTTTTAACATCCATTGGGTACCAATGAAGCACTCAGGCTATCCATCTTATTTGGGTTTCTTGACTGACCCACCTCCTTTTCCAAGCAGACATTGCTTGATGATATATTATTTTCTCTCCTTCTTGAGTGTAAAACATTGTTGGTAATATGCTACAATCTACTCACTCCCACTTTCCTTGTGTCTCTTCGTTGCCTTTTGGGTCATTCTCAATTTTAATTCTTTGGCAGGCAAAGTATTCTATAATGTACTGCTATATGGTATCACTGGGAGAAAACTGTTTAAAAAAAATGATAGTACAGTAGAAAGAACACTGGCTCTGGAATCCGACTAGATTAAAATCTTTTCTCTCCATCTTACTACCTGAGTGGCCTTGGGTAAGTCATTTAAACTCCTTGGGCCTCATTTTCATCATTTGTAAAATGAGGGGTTTGGGCTAGATGGTGGCTGAAGTCCCTTTCAGCTCTAGTACTATGGTCCTGTCACACAAAATAAGGAGGGTAGACCAAAACATATTGGCATAAACTAATCTTTTTTTTTTTTTTTTTGCTTTCTGGTTTCCTGAATACCTGTGCTTTGGGAAAAAAGCCCCATAAACACGTGTTGCTGTAGTCATTTCA